TGGGACCTTTGGCCTTATTGCCCTTCATGCTCACTGCTGCTGCTGTTTTTCTGCTGCAGCCAGCTGACAGGCCCGTGTTCGAGACTGGGAGGAGGGGGGATGTTGTTGATGCTTCAGAGAGACACAGGCCCTCTGCTGCATCATTAGCCTCGGTTGGTTACTCCGGGGACCCCCCTCCCCCCCTTATTTTAGCTTCTTTTTTTTTTACGCATGCACCATCTGCTCACGTGACAATGTGTTGCTGTACCCAGCGCTGCCGTCAGCCATCTTGGTCAACACCCACCCAGTGCATTCACTGCGGTGCGCAGGCAGTCCAATCACAGAGAACCGGTGCTAAGCTGACCGGAGGAGGGCTGTGATTTTTCAGCACGGTGCTCTCTGTTGCATTTTAAATCCCCAGTCGGCACAAAAGGGGATAACAAGAGGCTGAAGAGGAGGAGGCGGTGGAGGTAGAAGGCACAGACAGCAGCCTGTTTCACTCAGTTGTAGCAAGGAGGAGAGGAGGATGCATGCATAAAGAGGAGGAGCACCCTTTCTAACACCTGCTGAAGGGCCTTTCCCGTCTTGTCCTCTTTGTTTCTTCCTCTGATTCTCTTTTCATCTTTCATCCTCTTGTTTTTCTGGCCTTCTCTGGCTGTTGGAACGCAAAGCTCCTGCATCTTTTGTACCTCCCCCCCTCCCTTTTCCCCTTCGGTGGTGTTGGTTTTGCCTCGCACGAGCTGAGTCATCATGTCTGATCTGACGCCTCAGAGCGAAACCCCGACTCCCACCACAGACAAGATCACCCAGGCTGCCAGGGAGACCATTTATCTGTGCAACTTTCGCGTCTCTGTCGATGGCGAGTGGCTGTGCCTCCGCGAGCTCAACGACATCTCGCTCACGCCAGACCCCGAGCCGGTCCATGAAGGTAACGTGACAGATTAGCTCAGCGTTTGAGGAAGTGTTTGTGAGCACAGTGCGATATGTGTTAGGGCGTGGTGGTGTGCATCGCGGACACCAGAAGCAACATATTTCACCCGGTGAACGGTGCGAGCTGTGTCACGACGGGTTTGATTTGTTTGAGGGTTACGCAGCAGGATGACGCCACTTATAAATAAGCCAGGGGCGGACAACAAAGCAGCCAGGTCCTGCTGGGAGGCTTCAAGCACTTGGTAGCTGTTGCTCCTTACAGAAGATCCCAGTCGCACAGAACAAACATGTTTGTGTGCTGATGATTTTCATTTAGTTTCTCCCACTGACAAAGCAGAATGCAGCCAGTTATAGATTTGGCAGCAAA